TAAAATAGACTAGCTAACGTCAACGTATTGTTGAAGAGAGGCTTAGTGTATATTAAATCAACCTCACAATGAAATATGTGTATCTTTAAAATATGAACGTCACATTTCAAGATAATAACGCTCCCTTAGATATTGTAATATGGTTTGTTGAACTGGAGTTATGTATTGCAGCTAACCGCCTATCCGACGAACGACCCAAACATTGTTGTTTTTAATATTATTACCAATGCCTCTTTTAATTGTATTATCATCACACTTGAGAAACAGCCTTATCGTGGCTGTACAACGGAACATGTAACTTAATGCCTGCATTTAAGGACGATGAATAGCGTAGTCAATGCTTTAGTGACAAGGAAATGATTTGTTTAAATATGATATATAACGTTATCTGTGACTTCAGTGGAAATTAAGCTTATCCATTGCATTGCATTTGTTCAATAGGTTTGTGTCTTACCCTCACGTGTGTGATGCATATGAATATGGCATATGAAAACAAATTAATTTGACTGACTCATGAAAACCTCATCCAAAATAACAGTAAAATAAAAAGGACCTACACAATAATACTCAATCAAACTGATACAGTATAAGGACTGTGATATCCAGCCATTTCTTAAGTATAACAATAAGATTATGACCTGTTTTTAAAAGAAGATAAAAAGTTGTTTGCATGGAAAGAAGTCTGTAACCCATGCATGTAACTTTACATCTGTTTGTTCAAAGTGTCCTCAAGGTGATCCAGACAGGCTGGACCAGAGGAGGAGAGACAGATCTGGACTCCTAGCAGCAGAGAACTTCAGCACGGATTCCAAGGTACACCTTTTTCATACTTTACAAAGAATGCATAAAGTAATGACTCCAATACACTGATATACATGCCATTAAACATGGCTGAATACTAGATCCCCTGCACATCAGTGATGTTGAGTGGAATTTATTAGCAAAAGGTTACATTTACATTTTACCAAGCAACATCACATAGTGAGAGCTGCGACCCTTTGTCTTTCAGTGAGACAACAGAGCAAGCTTCCACAGTTGCACTAAGTTTTGATAACAGTTAAATATTATTTTAATAATACATTTATTTCAATGTTGATGAATTTAGAACGGTTTATTCATAACCTGATTATCTTTGTAGTACACATTCAAATAAAAATAAAATCATTATATTTATAGCCCCTGAAGAAACAAACACACCTCTTTCTTAAATAACACACTTGCTCTGCAATAATATGTTTTTTGATATTTCTGTTAGGAAAGGACACGCCTGAGAGACAGGACTGCTTCACCATGTTCTCTTTCTCTGAGGGTCCAGAAGAACATCCAAGAGGGAAAGGAGAAGCTGATGTGATGAGATTTAAGAGCAGTACAGGACATTAAGAGACAGAGAATAGTTTTGTAGTCCAACAGGAACTTCATTTGTGTGTTGTTTTGTGTTTTACGTTGCACCTCAGAAACAGTGTGATTATTGTCAGGCCTATAAAGTTTGGCAAAAAAAAAAAGTCAGCTGATCAAATGCATTTGCCTCACTTTATGAGCTTCATATCACTTGTGCCTTGTACCGCGGAGTTTGGAACGTCATAAATAAATGGTACCAATCTTCAGTCAGATGTGAATGTGTAATCTAACAGTTTCAGTAAGAATAACGGACAAAAGGAGTGCAAATACAATTTATTGAAATGTGAACTAAAAGTTATCAAGCATGAACCATCACCATTTTTTTTTAAAAATAAAAACGAAATAATATACATAAGTTACACTAAATGTTAATCTGTTAATTGACAGGCTAGGCCTGTGCAGGTGGTAACCGCTATGCCCAGCATGGGCTAAGTTCTGTAGGTGCAGCTGGTGCAGGTCCTCCTCCATCAGGCCTGGTCCTTCTCCCTCAGGCCTGGTCCTCCTCCCTCAGGCCTGCAGGGTCTTTCCCTGCGAGGAGGACTCCTCGCAGGGAAAGACCCTCAGCCCTCTCCGGCCAAACCAACAGACAGGACGTTCATAAAGCTGAGGTTTCCCCCAAAGTCTCTAATCATCCATCCTGTGAATATGAGAGGGGAACAAAATTGTGTAATAGTCTTTGAGTTTCATGCAAAGCTATATAAAAGTCCCATGTATTATTATTATTATTATTATTATTAGATGCTTTGGACAATAATAAATATAAAGTTAACTGTTGAGTTGATCAGTTTTTTAGATTGAAAGGGTTTAATAATACAAACAAAAGGAGAGGCACCGTAAAATAAAGATTGGTTTTTCAATAAATTGTGTTGATTTTGTCTTTTGAATTCTTTGTCTAAAGTCAAGTAGCTAGAACTGTTACTTATAGTTTGAATGATAGTCTGGTTATAATGTTTGGAGGAGGCATCACAGGTAAGAGCACCATTTGTTGTGTTCCATCCACAACAGATTGATGTGTGTGTATTTATTTATTTACTATTTCTTGAATCATTACTGTCAGTCCAAAACAAGAGATTTTGTTTTAGTAACATTTAAAAAAAAAAATAAAAAAAAACATTATCTCTTTTTCACTACACTATCTTGAATACTTTAGTTTTTACGTCACTACATTTATCTAACAGCTTTAACATTGTAAAGGTGTCACTTCGGACTCTGGGTAATTATGACAGCATGTCCTACTCAGAGCTCTAGGGCTCTGGTCCTACTATTTTGAGACTTTGAACAAACCAGACCTTAATCTATTAACCTCTTAATGTAGAAAATAGTCAGCACATTAAACCATTATGAAAGTAATAATTAGTTAGCTCATTGTTCAAAATGAGCTCAAACTACAACAGTTAAGTCAACTCGTGCATCGGTAATAACAATAAATCAAATGATATAATATAATAGTATAACTTGTGTCTACTTTAAATACTTTAACAACACTTTCCTAATTATACTAGCATACTTTTACTAAAGTAACATGTTTAAATGCAGGGCTTTTGTAAGAGAGTATTTCGTATAGTGTAGCATGGTCTACTTGACCTATCTAACCGAAGTGATCGTTACGTTACTTTGCAAACCGTCACCCCCCCTCACACACACAAAAGGACACGGTAACGTTGTGATTCACTTCAATTAATGATAACTACGGAGCTTGCTAACAACAAGGCTACTTCACTCATTTAGCTAATGTAAGATACAAATGCTGTCGAGCCCTCACTGCTTGTAAAATAAAGAGCACAAACTGACAACTTACCCGAGCGGCGAGCCCCGCTGTTCTCCGTCATTTTTCTCCCGGGTTGTTGTGATCACATGACTGACAAAGCCGTGCTCTGATAGGCCAAGTCAGTTTGATTGCATTAGGGCTCGATTGCTTATCCTGTCTGAGTAGCCCGGATGATGCTGCACCGCAATTTTTGACATCGAATTTTATACACCGAATTTTTTGACATCGAATTTTTTGACGTCGAATTTTTGGGATCTGAATTTGAACATTCGAATTTTTTTGTGGCGGGGGTGTGTGTGTCTACAGAAGGTCCAGTTGTGATAGACACGGTTCGCCACTGGTTGTGGCAGATATTTAAGTAAGCTTTCTTGACGCTAATCTTATATTAGTCAGATTGCTCTGAAGATGGGAGGTGATATTCTATTAATTTTCACGTTCACACAGTCGGTTGATTTTTGCCGGCCGTCTTTCCGGTGTTGTGCCGAATTATGCACCCCCGTCGTGAAATGCACCCCTTGTCACGGGAACGTGCATTTGAAAATGAAACGTATAGTCCGCTATTCTATGTTGTCCCTCTCGATTTCTTGTGATTGTTGCGGTTTTTTTAATGGTAATATTCAGACTTATACTGTGAGTCGTTTAGTGGTAGCTCATGTAGTCTTGACTCTAGTGGTTAAACTTTTCGCTCCGTATTTTGATTGTTGGGTTGTCGAATCTTGGATTTTGCATTCATTCGTCACTTCTTTTTCAGTTAATTTTTGTATTTAATATATGTTTTTATTTAATTGTGACGTCCTGTCTGTATACTTGTGCTTTAAAATGTATTCATTTTAAATATTTGTCAAAATATATGTTTACAAATGTTACATAGTCTTTGTCACCATCTTTTGCATTATAAAGATTACTCTTTTACCTTGTTGTGTTAATTATTCGGGTCTAAATGAGCTAATAGATTTTTACATCAAGTGCTTGAGGGGGGGGTTGTGCTTTTTACAGCAGGCCTGGTTGCCACGATATGTACCCCCTTGCTATCTCTGACAACAAACGTGTCACATACATGAAACTTGCTCCATTTATTGGTACTAGTCCTACAACTCTACCCTCAAAAGTGCTTGAGGGTCAGATTAATAGAAGCATCTTTTTTGGGGGGGTGCATTTCACGGCGGGGGTGCATATTTCGGCACCCCCAAAACAGATGCTAAAAGGGTCACATACATGAAACTTGCTCCATTTATTTGTAGCCTACTAGTCCTACAACTATACCCTCAAAAATGCTTGAGGGTGGGATTAATAAAAGCATCTTTTTTGGTGGGGGGGGGTGCGTTTCACGGCGGGGGTGCATAATTGTGCTGAATTATGCAACCCCGCCATGAAATGCACCCCCCCAAAAAAGATGCTTCTATTAATCCCACCCTCAAGCACTTTTGAGGGTATAGTTGTAGGAGTAGCACCAATAAATGGAGCAATTTCATGAATGTGACCCTTTTAGCATCTTTTTTGGTGAGGGGGGGTGCATTTCACGGCGGGGGTGCATAATTGTGTTGAATTATGCACCCCACCAAAAAATATGCTTCTATTAATCCCACCCTCAAGCACTTTTGAGGGTATAGTTGTAGGACTAGTCCCAATAAATGGAGCATGTTTCATGTATGTGACACGTTTATTGTCAGAGATAGCAAGGGGGTGCATATCGTAGCAACCAGGCCTGCTGTAAAATGCACCCCCCCCCCCAAAAAAAGATGCTTCTATTAATCCCACCCTCAAGCACTTTTGAGAGTTTAGTTGTAGTTGTAGGAGTAGCACCAATAAATTCAACTTTAACATGCCACCCAAGGTAGGGAGAGGCAGACGGAAGATGCTGGCTGTTAAATACAGAACTCAGAAGAGGAAAGCAGAGGAAACTGAGGATTTAGAGGTCCAAGAAGACAGCACTGAGTCTCCAACCAGAGAGAGAAAGGGGAGGAAATGCAAGAAAGATGTCAGTCCTTGTCCAAGTAAAACTCCAGAGTGGTCCCCAGAGGGTTCCAGGTCTCCTCAGCGGTCTGAAAGGTCTCCACAGCAGTCTGAAAGGTCTCATCAGCAGTCTAGGTGGTCTCCTCAGCAGTCCCAAGAGTCTCGGCAGCATTCACCTTCTCGCCTTCCTCCTCTTAACAGACAGCCCGAATCCTCGGATGATGAAGGTAAATGTTTATAACTTATTTTTGGTATGGATGGGGGGCAAGAGGGGTTATTGATGTTGTTATATATTCCCATACATTGTTGTCCTGCATGTACACTGAACAAAAATATAAATGCAACACTTTTGTTTTTGCTCCCATTTTTCATGAGATGAACTCAAAGATCTAAAACATTTTCTATATACACAAAATAACCATTTCTCTCAAATATTGTTCACAAATCTGAAAAAATCTGTGATAGTGAGCACTTCTTCTTCTTCTTCTTCTTCTTGCCGAGATAATCCATCCCACCTCACAGGTGTGGCATATCAAGATGCTGATTAGACAGCATGATTATTGCACAGGTGTGCCTTAGGCTGGCCACAATAAAAGGCCACTCTGAAAGGTGCAGTTTTGCTTTATTGGGGGGGGTCTGGGGGGGTCCGAAAACCAGTCAATATCTGGTGTGACCACCATTTGCCTCACGCAGTGCAACACATCTCCTTTGCATAGAGTTGATCAGGTTGTTGATTGTGGCCTGTGGAATGTTGGTCCACTCCTCTTCAATGGCTGTGCGAAGTTACTGGATATTGGCAGGAACTGGAACACGCTGTTGTATACGCCGATCCAGAGCATCCCAAACATGCTCAATGGGTGACATGTCCGGTGAGTATGCTGGCCATGCAAGAACTGGGATGTTTTCAGCCTCCAGGAATTGTGTACAGATCCTTGCAACATGGGGACGTGCATTATCATGCTGCAACATGAGGTGATGGTCGTGGATGAATGGCACAACAATGGGCCTCAGGATCTCATCACGGTATCTCTGTGCATTCACAATGCCATCAATAAAATGCACCTGTGTTCGTCGTCCATAACATACGCCGCCCATACCATAACCCCACCCCCACCATGGGCCACTCGATTCACAACATTGACATCAGAAAACCGCTCACCCACACGACGCCACACACGCTGTCTGCCATCTGCCCTGAACAGTGAAAACCGGGATTCATCCGTGAAGAGAACACCTCTCCAACGTGCCAGACGCCATCGAATGTGAGCATTTGCCCACTCAAGTCGGTTACGACGACGAACCGGAGTCAGGTCGAGACCCCGATGAGGACGACGAGCATGCAGATGAGCTTCCCTGAGACGGTTTCTGACAGTTTGTGCAGAAATTCTTTGGTTATGCAAACCGATTGTTGCAGCAGCTGTCCGAGTGGCTGGTCTCAGACGATCTTGGAGGTGAACATGCTGGATGTGGAGGTCCTGGGCTGGTGTGGTTACACGTGGTCTGCGGTTGTGAGGCCGGTTGGATGTACTGCCAAATTCTCTGAAACGCCTTTGGAGACGACTTATGGTAGAGAAATGAACATTCAATTCACGGGCAACAGCTCTGGTGGACATTCCTGCTGTCAGCATGCCAATTGCACGCTCCCTCAAAACTTGCGACATCTGTGGCATTGTGCTGTGTGATAAAACTGAACATTTTAGAGTGGCCTTTTATTGTGGCCAGCCTAAGGCACACCTGTGCAATAATCATGCTGTCTAATCAGCATCTTGATATGCCACACCTGTGAGGTGGGATGGATTATCTCGGCAAAAGAGAAGTGCTCACTATCACAGATTTTTTTCAGATTTGTGAACAATATTCGAGATAAATGGTTATTTTGTGTATATAGAAACATTTTTAGATCTTTGAGTTCATCTCATGAAAAATGGGAGCAAAAACAAAAGTGTTGCATTTATATTTTTGTTCAGTGTACTTGATTTTTTTTCCATTTGGTATCTTTTCAGATGAGTCAGCTTCCCCCGCCCTCTCTGCTGGCAAGTCCAAGTCCAAGCCTGAAGTGGGCAAGGGCGACAAAGGGAAAGGCAAGGCCCAGAATGAGAACCCACCCCCTGGTGCATCATACAGCTTCACAGAGGCGCAGGAGGAGGCAATCGCTCGCTGGGTGGAGAGTAACAAGCTACTGTATGACATGAAGGACAAACAGTACAAATACAAGGCATTAAGGAGGCAACTATGGGAGGGAAAGGCTGCGGAGAACGGGGTGGATTGTAAGTATAACAATTTTTACATGTCAATTACTTTGAAATATTTGAAATCTATTTCAGATACTTGACATACATTGCTGTCAATGAACATTTCAATGATTGTACTAATTATTTGTTTTGATTTCTGTCATTGCAGATCATTCAATTCAGAAATGGTACCACACACAGAGGACTCGATTCTCAAAGCTGCGGGAGGGCCAACCCAACAAGAAATCACAGAAGAGGTTCGGTTATGGTCTGTCGAGTGGTGACGAGGAAGACCCCATCCTTGCCAGTGAGAATGACAGTGACCGTGACAAGTTCATCCGCCGGGTCTTTGGGTTCATGAAGCCACACATCAGACGTCACAAGAAGGATACACCAGCTAGTGTGAGTATATCATTGAAATTAAATTAAAACTGAACTTTGTTGAACATTTTCAATTTCCAAATGTTTTGTTTCCAAATATATCTTTCAAATGTACTTATGTTTGTTTTCAATTTTTGTCTTTGCAGTTTAAGGACAAGTTGGCCCTGGCTGAGACGGGTGAGCTGGCTGGGAGTGACGAACCCAGGGAGCCCACCAAGAAGTACACTGGCTACCCTACACCGAGACCTCCTTCCAGGACAGGAACAGCGGCTGAAGACCGACCCGAGTCTCCTACCATGGAGATGAGAGTTACCCGAGCATCCCGTGATCTCCAAGATAGGCTGGTTCAGTTCATCACTCGAGAGCAGCAAGTCAACAGGGCCACTCCTTTCTGCAAGTACCTGGAAACCGAACTGTATCGTCTGCATGATGCCTGCCTGGAACCTGCGTATGAGGAGATCACCACAGTTCTTAACCAGTAAGTATATACAATTGCATAAAATTGCATACATTTGAAATTCATTTATTTGATGTCACACATTTTATTGCATGCTAAATTTGAGCTTGTATTAATCCTATGCTGTTTATTTTTGTCTTTCCAGTTACCGGAAGGTGTCCAGACAGTTCAGGATGCGGGAAGCGGCTGGTGACCAGATCAGTCCCTTAGAAGATGTCCCGTCAGCATTCCAGTCGCAGCAGCAGCAGAGGCCAGTTGCTGTGATCCCAGTCTGCACATCTGCCACCTACTCAAGAGTAGGGATGGGAATCGAGAACCGGTACTATGTCAGTACCGGTACCTGATTGGACGGTATTGGTATACCATTAAGCCGCTGGACAAACGGTGCTGCTATCGGTATATGAATTACGCTACTTCCTTAGTTTAAACAATTCTCGTTGGTTGGGAACCCTCATCCCGTGTGACGTATCCTGTTTGAGTACCACTCTGATTGGCCACTGTGAATGCCACTCGTCATCTCTCCTAACAGCTCTCTTATTATTGTGAGACTTCCGGGGGCAGACTATAGGGGCAGACGCAACATCTTACTAGAAACAGCGTCTCAAGGATTCTTAACATTTAACAACCTATTAATGATGCACTTAACGGGAAGAAACTCAGCTAACAGACGTTAGTAACCATTTTACCTACACGGAACAGAAGTCCAACACCAAGAGTCTAAATCAACACTTAGCAAAACGGGCTAACGGCTACTTTAGCACATAACTGGCAAAAGCAATCTTTTCTACGTCATTGTATCTGCACAAACAACATATCACATGAAAGCTGAGATTCCAGATTCCATTGGTATAAGTCTTATCACTGTACGAAAACTCACTGAAATAGCAGTCAGGAAAGAGCAAGAAAACAACTTCACTTTACGTAGCCATGATGATAATTATGTCTTACCTGTGCTGTTTTGTGATCAAAAGTTGTGTTCAAGGGCATAACAACGGTTAATCCAATGTCTCTGTGTAACTTTAAAACGATTACTGATAATCCATCATTACAATTATAAATAATAAACGGATTATAATGGTTAACCGATCGGAGCTTCCGGTTTAGGAGGTGCGCATGCAGCGTCTCGTTTTAACTAAATAATGGTCATGTTTACATGGATTTATGAACTGCCCCTAATTACCGCCCCCCTTCCAGAGACACACTGTCAAACACTCATACCTGCTTGGTATGACATTGAACAAGTTATATTAAATAATAAATACAAATAAATGACAATATAATGACTGTTGTTTAATCTTCACATCTTGTGATCATGTCTATAATTTTGAGCACCAAATTATTGAAAAGTATCGATAAGAGTATTGAAAAATACTGGTATCGATAAGCAATATCGGTATCAATAAAATCCTAACGATAACCATCCCTACTCAAGAGTCAGCCAACTTCAACAGGAGAGTGCCCTCCCCAGCGGTACCTACTACTCCACCAGCAGAGCTGCCTCCTCACCGTCAGCAGATTTCCAGCCAGGTCCCAGCCAGTGGCCTAGGAAGTAGGAACCCACCTCCGGCATCAGTGTGGAGATTCCAGGAGTGTGGCTACGTAGAGCAGACGAACCAGCAGTACAACTTAGAACAACAGCAACAGCAGCAGTACCATACCCTCCAGCCAGCCAGCACTTCTACTCAGGGCTACGTTCCTTCTCCTCGCCAGGCTGCATTCTTCCAACTTCCTTCTCAGCCTCCTCAGCAGCTAATCAGAGGTCCTTGGCAGCTAACACCCCAGCAGCCAGTCCAGGGTCGTCCGCCTCCTCTTCCAGCTCAGCAGTCCCAGCACAATGTGAACCAGTATCTAAACCTAGACGACAGTGTAAATATCAACAAAGACATCGATCTCTCAGCTTTAGTGCCACATGACGACAATAATAACAAAAGCCAGTAACCAGAAATTCAGAGACAGTTCCAGAAAAATAATCTGAGACAGTTCCAGGAAAAATCTGAAAAATAATCACACAGAAGCTTGAGATTGTAATAAATAAAATAATGTAATAAAAATTGTCACTGCTATTTTCAGACTTTGTTCTTTTTTCGGTCCTTTATCCTTACTTTACAAGTTATTTTTTAATTTCTATGTTAAAGTACTATATGGGATTTGTAAACTATCTAAATATTGGGCATTTATTTTATTAATAAGTGGAAAAAAGCAAAATTTCAAAAGCAAAATGTATTTTTCTATTACGTACAGGGTACCCCTTGGAAGTCAGTTTTCAACGGGAAGGGCGTCCCATTGACTTGCATAGAGCTCCCTGAACGTTGGTAATAGAGGAGTTGGGATCGCGGCGAAATGCTCTCCGCAGATCCATTCTCACAGCGTTTGTCAACCTTTTTCTTACTCAATATCAAGCCACACTTATTGTTTTTACTTCTTTATTTTAATTGAATAATGTAGGACTTTTGTTGCCGTCAGTTATGGGGAGAGTAGGGGCTCAGAATACTGAAATCTGTATTGTTTCATTGTTTTTTCCTTCTAATTTTGTATTATTTTCTAAACCACACACTGTTATTTACTCAACAATAACACATAATTATCCTTGTGTTTATTTATTTGTTTGATTAATAAACACACGTTTGAGTCCGTCAGGACCGAGGGTCGGAGCAGCTCATATAGTTGCTTTAGAGAATTTTACACCCGGAAGTAAGTATTCTCTCCGCTTCGCTTGACAAACACTGTGATAGTCCTCAAGCTCTGTGATTGGATGTTTGAGTGTGCGCCGAGCGTTACGCCGAGCGTCGAACAACACTTTGAAATGGGATGGAACCATGGCAGACTGTCCAAAACTGGATTTGAACGGGTCCACCCCGTCCCCAGAACTACACATGCTGGCTATTGTGTTTTGCAACATGCTCTATGGCACGTCTCTACTGGGAATTGTAGTTTTAAAAGAGGTTTTCGTATTTCCCATAATAAGAAGTTGCCAGTATTAAACTGTGTATATCCCTGGAGGTTTAGGGGATAGGAAACACTCAAATTTAAAACATATAATTAATAAATGGGTGAAAATAGCTTGTGCCCATAATGGCCAGCATTAATATATACCCACATGACAGCTAAGGTCAGAAGAGCTTTATTTAACAGCTGGGGAGTATACTACGAAGCAGGATTTTCGCTTAGCCGGCTAACTTCAGGGAAAACTCGGGCTTTCCGGTCCTACGACGCTGGTTCTCTTTTTAGCAGGCTAGATCTCCATGGTAACTTATGCTGTGCGGCTAACCTGGGGAGTATACTACGAATCTAGTTCAACCTATCCTGGATATGTTTTGAGTTATCCGGTTGACTTAATCCAAAACAAAGCCGCTCTCGCTAAACTGTCCTACAACGCTGGCTATCAACTCGTTCGCTCAAGCCAGCCGTGTCCTATCTAGTTAGGTGCGTGTTCACATAAAAGGGGTATACAACAACATCGTATTTTTTGGCGAAGGATTCCATGGAAACGGCATATGGTGAGATCTCAGATTTCACGTAGAGCTGTTGAGGCATGGACCGGTGACATAAAAGTGAAGATTGGGGGACGATGGGACCGTGTCCATTGGAGTTACAGCGACACCGTGTTTTATGGCGAAGGATCCGTTGCCATGGTAACGCCATATTAAATAACATCAGATTTTACGTAGAGCTGTTCAGGGCCGCAGTGTTAACCATCACGTGAAGTTTGGTGGCGTTCAGAGAATGTCAGTTTGAGTTATGACATCATCGTGTTCCATGGCGAGGGACCGCCTAGCATCAAGTGAACGCGAACTTTGGCGCCAAATCACAAAGAAAAAAAATTCCGAGATAACTTTAAATTGCCCATGTAGAAGCTACCCGACGAATTTCGAGTCGTACGGATAAAGTCCCTAGGAGAAGATAGATTTCGTAAATCACGTTTTTCCGATGCCAAATTCAAAATGGCCGACTTCCTGTACGTTACTTTATACCCCTCCAAGAGGCTTTTTTCTTTGTCTCCACACCCTAGATATGCGTATCGAGTTTCGTTCGTTTACGTGAAAGTTAAAGTGGGGGGAGTTAACGTTAAAAACGGAAGTGAGCGTGGCCTACGCAATTTTTGACGCAAAGTTCCGGAACCAATTAAACATCGACATTTTCACCACTTCTGACGCGCGTGCAAAATTTGGTGAGTTTTCACATATGTTGCGGGGGAAAATAACGTATCTATGCCACAATTTTAGATGCGGATTTTGTTAAACTAATATGTTTGCGCTGTGGACCAACACTATAAATTGACGGGGAAGGGGGTAGCAATAAAGATAACACCATTAAACAGTTACACAACATAACAGAAATAATATCGATAGCAGCATCCCTAGCAACCACCTTGGTAACAATGAAAACGTTGTATAGACACAATTTCCTGAAGTAATCTTCGTAATAACTAGCAAACTAAAGATCATGTACATCCACTTCACACATAATCTGAAATAACAACTCGTATTTCTCGCATCAAATGACATCAAAACGCATTTTAATGGCCAAACTAACCTTAAAATAGGCATTTTCCACCGAGAATAAAACGAAGTTCGGCCATGTTTTTTTTTTCTGCAGGGAGAAATTTGAAGATCACGTGACATAGACGCCAGCCATTGGAATGAATGGTGAAAAAAAACGTAGGGATCTTACAATTTCAGAGCCGTTTTTGTATAAATACTACGTCCCAAGTTGTGGACCAACGTAGTTATTACACGTTTTTTTATGAGACTGGGTTGGACAATCAACTTTCCTGTCTCTCTCTCCACAAACTCTCACATGAAATATGTTCTTTTGATGCGGCATGCCTTAGCAGTCCTTTATCAGTCTGTAATGCGTGTTTCCAGTCGCAAAAACCTTTGACAGTAAAAGCCGCATCAGATGAAGACGTATTTACTTTAAAGTGTCTACAGGGGAAACAAAAAGCTGCGTCTGCTTTTAACGAATATTCAAGCCATGGTCTTTTGTTGTACCATGCAGTGGCAAAAGTGCGCTTATTTTCTGAAAACAATCTCCCTGGATAACGATCCAGTTTTACCTGGTTAGGTTTATTAACCCCAAGATCATCTGGGGCTGTTGGTCTTTGAGCGGTTGCTGGCCCAATAGTACCTGTTGATGTGCTGCAAGGTAGCGTCTGTAGTGGAGGCACCGGCACGGAGGAGGATGCTGGCGGGTGTGGTACAGGGTGTGGCAACGTTGTTGGTGATGGTAGGGGCACAAGGAGCTGTGCCTCGGAGGACAGCGTTGGTGGCGGCCGCCTTGATGAGTCAAGGCTTGGGCTCGCTAACTCAGCCCCGGGGTTTGCCGAGGTCAAGCTTGTGACATTAAGGCGGGCTGCTGCAACGGCAGGTGCAGGGTCGCCAGCAACACCGTCGGCTGCAGTTCTTTCATCGCTATTTCGTTTTAATAAATCCTTAGACCTTTTAAGCCAATTTCTGATGTCCATTTTGTAATTCAAACAGAAATGGGAGTCTACAGATGCACAATAAACAAATCCAGAATAGGCGGCAGAGTGTGACGCTGTGATTGGTCTAAATGTGGACGAATCACAAATCACAACAGACAAATGCAATTATTTGACGTAGCCTGCGATTATTATTTTTTTAGTTACTATCTGACATCACATACATCGTAGAATAAAAGTTCACAGTTTATAATTAAAAAAATTAAAAAATATTTTTTTAAATGTTATAAATAATAAAAAACGTGTTTATTGGGGGAGGGCAGGAATGTCAAATGGGAGGGCCTAGCCCTACCACGGCGCCGGGCATGTTTCAGCATGACAATGATCCCAAACACACCGCCCGGGCAATGAAGGAGTGGCTTCGTAAGAAGCATTTCAAGGTCCTGGAGTGGCCTAGCCAGTCTCCAGATCTCAACCCCATAGAAAATCTTTGGAGGGAGTTGAAAGTCCGTGTTGCCCAGCGACAGCCCCAAAACATCACTGCTCTAGAGGAGATCTGCATGGAGGAATGGGCCAAAATACCTGCAACAGTGTGTGAAAACCTTGTGAAGACTTACAGAAAACGTTTGACCTCTGTCATTGCCAACAAAGGGTATATAACAAAGTATTGAGATGAACTTTTGTTATTGACCAAATACTTATTTTCCACCATGCAAATAAATTCTTTAAAAATCAGACAATGTGATTTTCTGGATTTTTTTTTTTCTCATTTTGTCTCTCATAGTTGAGGTATACCTAGGATGAAAATTACAGGCCTCTCTCATCTTTTTAAGTGGGAGAACTTGCATAATTGGTGGCTGACTAAATACTTTTTTTCCACGATATTCTCTAAAGCAAATGAGCTGCTCCGACCCTCGGTCCTGATGGACTCCAACTTGTGTTTATTAATCAAACAAATAAATAAACACAAGGATAATTATGTGTTATTGTTGAGTAAATGGAGAATTGCACAGGGGAAAATAACGTAGGCCTATCTATGCCACAATTTTAGATGTGGATTTTGTTAAACTAATAAGTTTGCGCTGTGGACCAACACTATACATTGACCGGGAAGGGGGTAGCAATAAAGATAACACCAACAGTTACACAACATAACAGAAATAATATCGATAGCAGCGTCCCTAGCAACCACCTTGATAACAATGAAAACGTTGTATAGACACAATTTCCTGAAGTAATCTTCGTAATAACTAGCAGACTAAAAATCATGTACATCCACTGCACACATAATCTGAAATAACAACTCATATTTCTCAAATGACATCAAAACGCATTTTAATGGCCAAACTAACCTTAAAATAGTGTTGAACTTTCCTGTCGGCTCCCAGACCGTGGTCGAGGAAACAGGGGGGATGACTCTCTGTTGTCTCCCAGGGCAGAAGCAACACGCTTCGGATTCAATAACCCACTTTATCAAATCACTGGAGAGAGGCGAGCTCGTCTTGGGACATGGAGGTTGCCATATAGCTGTCGAGATCTGGTGTCCAGATTGTTGGAGAGGATGGAGGTCCTACAGGCGTTTTCTCCAGGCTGCAGCTCGCGGTGAGAGAGTTGTTTTCTCCCAGATCCATGGTTGCTGCT